GGAAGAGAGGGAGAAGGGAAATGATACTAAAACTTAACTTACATAACATAATGTAACAATAACTTAAAAATAACTTAAAAAAGATAAAAAAATTAGTGTTGTTTTATATATATAACAACACTAATTTTTTAATCTTTTCTAAGTTACTTTTAAAAAATATACATATATATTTTTTTTAATTTTTATTCACTGCTTTTTGCTTTCTTTCCTTCACTTCCACCAGCACTTTCACTAGATAGAAGTCACTTGGTAAAATATCTATCCAAACAGGTTTGGCTTTGCCTACTTTTTAAAATGTTTCTAAAATAACTTAGGCAAATGTCATTACTCCAAGCAGCAATATGGCCAGTGTGAACCTTTTTGGGATGTTTCTTTTCAATAAAATATCAGTCACTTTCTGATAATACCTCAAGATTTCCTTTATCGAGCGAGATCCTTACATGACAAAGCAAACCCATGGACTGAGACCAATGAACAGAAGTGAAAAAAAATGGCAATGCGAACTAATGTAACGTCGTATGGTGAGTTTTTGTTTGTATCGTGGAGCAAAAATATGTTCGAATTTCATGTCGTATCCTGAAAATTTCATATGCTGGAGCGTTCATATCCTGAAAATTTCATATGCTGGGGCATTCATATCCTAAGATACCATTGTATATCATTTAAAGTATATCTTTGCTTTATACAAATAATATGTAACTTTACAAATTCTATAAATTTTATTTTTTGCATGTTCAAAATACAGAATATGACATTTCTATAATTTTGTTCATTCTTTAAAATTAAAGTTACTTCCTTATAAGTGAAAAAGAAATAATTTAGTTACAAAATAATATTCACTTAAATCTAACTTTTTTATGAATGGGGATTAAATTTATCTCTCAGATTATGCATTTTCACACAAATCATCAACACACTAATAATAGTTTCATTAATTAATTCTAGTAAATTGACTAACTATTGAATGATTTTTTTAAATATATAAATACAATCATTTTTATTTTAATGCATTACTGATATGTTTTATTTAATAAACAAATAAAAACGAAATTCAATAACATAAATAATCAAAAAAGCATTAAAATTTTTAAATAATAATTATATATGTACATAAAGTATTCTGTAAAGATAATCTCCAAAAATAAATAGTGTTAAAACATTTGTCAATTTCATGGAGAAATGTTTTAACATCAGTTGTATTCTGTAATGATTCCATAGAAATATAAGTAAGTAATTCTTTAAAAAATATAATTTAAAAAGTACTTAATTTAATGTTAAATTTAAATATAAATAATTAACAATTGGATATTTTCAATTATTATGCATAGAGTAAATTAAAATGCATTTATGAAAAAATGTAAAATATCAGTTTTAAATGAAATTACTAATTATTATTTAATAAGAAAAAATATCTTGAAAATAAATTAACAAACAATTCTATACCCCTGATTCAAAGATGGCACTGACAGGTTTATGATCACTAATAAGTAATGACGGATGACTTCGATAACATAATTGCTTCATATGTTCACCTTTCCATAAAACTCGATCACACCAAGCTGGTGGTCTACTCTTTTCACTGTAGATAGATACTGTTAATATTTATTCATGTAGTATAGAATTAATAAAAATTAATATAAATTACAATAAAATATTTATTTAGATCTGAAACTTTTATTATAATTAAAGGGTAATCTTTAATACAAATTATAAATTCTCCATAATAAAATATTTTCTAACAATTACCTTATTAATATATTTTTTATTTAAGATATATGAAAAATTTTATTAATATGACAATTATTAACTAATTAAAACATATAGCTCAACTAATTAAGACAAAACTTTTAAAATTATAATTATAAATAAATTCTCAAACCAACCAATTCTAAAATCTATTCATTTCCATAAAGATACAACCAAAAGCAAATTCTTTATGAAATACAGAAATATTTCATAACTTCCTAATACTGTATTTATGTTATAAAATGTAAACCAATTTAAATCATTAAGTTAATTTGCTGTAACCATAATAAATTCAGCTAATCTTCTTTAGAAATATCCACAATATTTTGGTTTCGTTACACAAACAAGATTAAACATGTTATGTATGGTTGATGATTATGATACACAGTGGCCTCAGATAATTAATAATTGCTATTTATCTGAGTTGCTGTTTCTTTTTTTTACATCAAAAATTTAAATATTTATGATGATATTTTTCGGTAATTAAAATTATATTGTATTTTTCACTTGATTTTTTGTTTACTAATATTTTAGTATACAGTAATACTTCGAACTTATGCAATAGGTGGGACCAAGTGATAACTGCGTAAGTCAAATTCGCGTAAGTCAGGGTATAATTTCGCAATTTGTGTAAAATCCAAGTCGGATGTATGTAAGCTAATAAATGTTCTCGTTAATCTTATCTCGTCTTTTGATTCGTTCACGGTTACAAGAAATCACCACATAGAATCTCTCAAGTCTCCATAGATATAACAAACACAGAAATAAATAATGCAAAATAAATTGTAGCTATGCATAGATTCCGCACAACACATCCGAACATGTAAGCCGAACAATAGTGTGGGGGGAGTGAGTAATCGAGAGTTGTGTGGCGTTCAAACAAAAGACGAATCGACGAGATTTGAAAATCGCGTAACTCCGGGTTCGCATAAGTCGGGGTAGCGTAAGTTGGGGTATTACTGTATACAATTGCCATGGTTCACTCTATTAGTTTTTTACTACATTTATTTAATTTTCTAAATTTATATATTATATTATATTCCTTGAAATATAAGATACTTTTAAATAATATATTGTAGATTTTATTTGAAAAATATTTAATGCTATAAATTTTTTGATAAAAATGTTTTATTTAAACTATTTTAAACTAAAATTTAATTTATTACAATATTTTAACTTTATCTAATTTTATAGTTACTGAAATATCTTTAAAATTAAAATCTTCCTTATGAACTATTTTTATTTCTAAATAAGAACTTCTCATTGTTTAATTTGAAAGTACAATAGAGCATTGATTATCCAAATATCGATCAACAGAAACATCAATTAACCAAAAGCTTTCCTGTTGGCAAATTTAAATTTCTGCTAGTGCTGTGGCTCTGTAATCTTTGGCTATGTCTTGGGCTACTCCAATATTATTTTATTGGTACACACCAATAAAAATAATATTGGAGTAGCCCAATATTATTTTTTTATTGTTTTAGCTGGCAGCACTGGCACAACCATGAAAGGGTACTTAAAGACATGCCAGGATTTGAATGAATTTCAACATGGGATAGGTTAATATATTTTTTTGTACATAATTGGTTATCTGAAAAATTGATTATCCGAACAACCCCAGTCCCCAATTGATTCGGATAATCAATGCTCTACTGTAAATATTAAATGTATTAATATTGATTTCACAGAACCTATACTATAACCCCTTTAAGACAGTTTTGAACAATGCATTTATTTATTAAATGGTCTCAAAAATATTGTAACAATGCAAACAATTTCTATCAAAATAAACAAAAACAACAAAATTACTTTCAAGCATTTCTCCATCACTTTGAAATAAATAGATAAAGGAAAAACTCTCTCAATGAAAAAGTCACTTAAAATATAGGAAAAAATAAATAAAAGCAATCCAAAAAGTATCTATCAAGTTTAACTATTATACCTAAATGATGAAGTATACAAATCTTATGAATTCAGCATTTGAATCTAATCATATAATAATGTGCTGAATATATTTGTCCTCAATTTCAATAACCTCTGCATCAAGGAAAACACTGCAGAAGGAAACTGTGTTATATACTCTCCAGATCTGAATCCTTAAGATTTCTTTTCAGGGAGCTATGTTGAGAATAGTTCCCTGAAAGGAATCTTGACAATAGTGTACTGTACATAAAACTAAATCTAAAGATTTTGGAGGAGCTCAAATATGAAATAATCAATAGATGACTTCTATTGAGTATTGGACATGGTTTTGACTTTGAGAAGTATTCTTTAATGTGATAGAGGAATCAGGAAAGATTGAAACCAAGTTGAACATAAATATACTGAAAACACAGATTCAAATGTTGATTTGAAAGATATTTGAGTAAGATTTGTATTCCTTGTCATTCAGTTATAATAAAGTATTTAAACTTTATATCAGTAACATACGTCACTCTTGTAGACACATCTAATGTGTAATGGAGTATGTTACTCAGACAGCAGGTTTTTTAAACAAGATAATCATCAATCCAAATTGTGTATTGATAATTTATAATCTAATATAAAGATCCACAAACAGTAAAATGTGTGTGTATAGTGCATAAGTATGTTATAATGAATAAATAAACAAACATAACAGTATTTTTCAGGTAACTTGTAAAATTAATAGCAATTAGAAAATTGTTTTCATTAAATTTTCTCTCTAACGAAATTATATATGAACCCATAATTCTTTTTAAAACTAATACAAAAGTTTAAAAATTTCTGTACTTTATCACGAAAGTGTAATTTAAAATTTTCACAAAATGAAGTCATAAAAAATATTTATGGTTTATTTGACTCATTTAGACTTTTACTTTAACTTTTACTAAGCTACACTAAGCATAATTTTAAAGATATTTTATTAAATGATAAATTTGCATAATTATTATTATCAAATAAAATATACCTTGAATCCCACTGATTGGTCCCAGGGTCATATTTGTATGTTGGCAAAAACTTAATTGGTCCCTCAGAATAACCAACAAAAACTCTCTTTAAACCATGCTGTATTGTTAGCTAAATAAAAATATATTTAGTTTTCAATGCTAATGAAACTAGACAAATACTGTAATATTAAAAAGATAAGAATAGTTGTTAATTTTCACTGTTATTTTTAATATCTTACAACTGAATAGTAAAATTTTTTATGATATCATGTTAGCAATGTTTGCTGTAAAGATTATAAGTATTCAAGATATTTTTCAAATTCACGAAGTAATTTAATATTTAATAGATATTTCAAGAATAATTGCAATTTTTTTCCTCTGAATTTGTGATTCATTACAAAAACGAAAAATATTTTTGAATAAGTTTTTGAAATATGAAATCTTGTTAATTTTAATTAATTTCTAGTGATTTAAAATAATAACAGGTTTAAATTATTTCTGAATGATCCAAAATTTAGTAATCACAAAACTGAATTTGTCAAATTCTATTACATAAATTATAAAAAATTTGATAATCAATATATATATTTCATTTGCAATTATTGTAAACGTTTATTACATATTAAGCATTTTATCAATTTAGTTTAATTTTTAAAAATATTATAATGTAATATACTACTATACAATTACAATAAAATAGCATAAAAATAATAATATTAAAGATGATTATTATCATTTTACATTATATTTTAACTTTACATAATTTATCTAATTTTCCAAACTAAGTTTAAAAAGTGTTTATATATATATAAAAAAAAAACAGAAAAAGCATTACCTGATCATGTTCTTGTAATACAGAATAATTCTCTTTATCAATAAATGCTTTAACTTGCTCAGTATCAAGACTCATAAGGCGATAATTCATATCACCAAACCAATAAATATGGCTAAATAAATTAACAAAATATGGATTAAATTTAAGAAACTTTACTAATATGAAAATTTCTTACTAATGCATTAAATAAATTAAGAGAAAATCTTTAATAGCAAATTTGAGCCAGATGGTTGGTTGGTAGCATTTTTTGGCACAAGGGCCACAAAGGCCAAGCTGTACCACACCAAATGGTTAATTTTCCCAACTCAATATGTCTATATTATATAAAATAGCAACAAAAAATACAACAACGAGTATCTACATAATAAGAACAAACAAACAACACACAAAAAAGTGAAAAATAAATAAATAAATAGTTAAATTTCTTTATGCAAATTAGCGACCTTTAAAAAGTCCAATACATTATGAACATTGGGCCTCTAGCCCAGAATCCCTGTCAAACACCCTGTCCCAAAATATTGTCTATGCCTGGTCTCAAAGGCAGAGCAATCGAGCAGTATATGTTTTATAGTAAGAGAACAGTTGCAATACTGGCAGGCTGGCTGCTTGTTGCTCTTCAAAAAGTATTGATGAGTCAACCGAGTATGTCCAATTCTCAAACGAGTGAAAATAACCTCAGATCTCCTGTCATAAGATTTCTTATGTGTCCAATTTTCTATCATAGGTTTGATCTCATGTAGTTTATTGTGGACTTGTGCATTCCACACATTTTGCCATCTCTCTGCTAGTCGTTTTTTAATGACTAGCTTCAAATCACCTCCTTCAATATGAATTGAATGCTGTGAAGGACTAGCTGACTTTGCAGCTGCATCAGCTTCTTCATTTCCTCTTATACTTACAAGGCCTGGGACCCAACAAAATTTTACAGAAATATTACTTGCAAAAAGATGGCAAAACTGTTTATGGATTTTAATCACTATAGAGTGAGAACTAGGTTCACGCGAGATCAAAGCCTGAAGTGCACTAACTGAGTCGGTGTACATCGCACAGCAACGATGACCTTTTTTGATTACATACTTTAAGGCTAGGTAAATAGCCTGCAGCTCTTCAGTAAAGATGGATGAATTCAGTGCAATTTGTTCTGCCATGATTTCATTCTGGCAAACAAAGGCTGAGCCGACATAATCATCTGATTTAGATCCGTCAGTATAAATAGGAATTAAATTCCTGTCACGGTGTTGAATTTCTGCAAAGTGCTGTCTGTAAACATAATCTGGAGTGGATTCCTTAAGAAACTGCTTTAAGCTAAGGTCGACATTTATTGGAGGAGTTGACCAAGGAGATATACTATCAACATCTAGCTATGAAATATTGCTTGTGTCCAGGTCAATTGTGCTGCTTACGTTCTCCATTCTTATGTTAAATGTAGGGACACTACTCGTCCGAGCTGCAAATAATCTTTTCAGCTGAGTATCTGAACAATCAGCTGAAAGTTTGTTCTGAGATTTCTGTTTAATGCAATAACAAAGAGACAACTGTTCTCTCCTAAGAGATAGTGGAAGCTCATAAGCATCCACATACAAACTTTGAATGGGAGAAGATGCTGAATACAAACTAGTTTTGGTGTGATATCACTAAATTTATTTCTATAACTGTAAAATTATTTTAAATTTTATAACTTTAAAGTTTTAAGTTCATTTTTTTGTTTTTGAACTGAAATGTTGCTNAGATGGATGAATTCAGTGCAATTTGTTCTGCCATGATTTCATTCTGGCAAACAAAGGCTGAGCCGACATAATCATCTGATTTAGATCCGTCAGTATAAATAGGAATTAAATTCCTGTCACGGTGTTGAATTTCTGCAAAGTGCTGTCTGTAAACATAATCTGGAGTGGATTCCTTAAGAAACTGCTTTAAGCTAAGGTCGACATTTATTGGAGGAGTTGACCAAGGAGATATACTATCAACATCTAGCTATGAAATATTGCTTGTGTCCAGGTCAATTGTGCTGCTTACGTTCTCCATTCTTATGTTAAATGTAGGGACACTACTCGTCCGAGCTGCAAATAATCTTTTCAGCTGAGTATCTGAACAATCAGCTGAAAGTTTGTTCTGAGATTTCTGTTTAATGCAATAACAAAGAGACAACTGTTCTCTCCTAAGAGATAGTGGAAGCTCATAAGCATCCACATACAAACTTTGAATGGGAGAAGATGCTGAATACAAACTAGTTTTGGTGTGATATCACTAAATTTATTTCTATAACTGTAAAATTATTTTAAATTTTATAACTTTAAAGTTTTAAGTTCATTTTTTTGTTTTTGAACTGAAATGTTGCTGTTTATAAAAAACAGATGTATAATAAAAAGGTTTTCTAATCAAAATCATTTGATTTATTTGTTAAAACAAAATTCAGAATTTACCAATTCATTTTCAATTTATATTTATAATTAATTAAAAAATAAAATTTTGAATATTACAATGTTTATTAAAATGTACTAAAATTATAAAAATAAATAATCATTTAAAATGCAGATTAGAAAATTAAATGTGTGAACATGGATTGTATGAATTCTTTCAGAAATTAAACTAACATCAGAACATAATTCAAAACTGATTTATTTCGTATGTCAAAGGAAAAAATAATCAATGAGAATATAATTTTAAAATTAAAAGATAAATGTATTTAAAGACAATCATTAAATATTCTGTTTTAAATCTAAAATAATAAAATTTTTAAACTTTTTAAATTTGTACAAAATGATTACAGAACAAATATTTAACAAACAACAGACTTACTCATGATCTTTAATAAATTTTGGAGGCTTAAATTGATTAAATACCATCCTAGCACAGATATCATTATAATCTTGATTTCTCCTTTCATATTCTTCTACATGTGCTGCTAAGTGACAATTAACAAAACAAACAGAAGTACTGTGAAAATCAAATCTTACAGCTACACCACCTTTATTTCCCTATTTAATAAATAATAATTTTATTAGTAAATATAGATATANTGGAAAAAAAATTTTTTTTCAGACCTGTGTTATTGCTTCTGTGTATGTTGTTATAATGTATTCATCTATACACATCAATATAATGTAATATCTTTAAATTTAAAGCAGAAATTGTATTATTTGAGATTGCTGAAAAATTATAAATGATTTCAAATTTAAACCTCTAATAAAATTTAAGCATTATAATAAAAGTTAATTTGACTATAATGCTACAATTTATTTTTCATATCTATTTTACTGTTTAGTTTAATATTAAATTAAACTTCATAGTTGTCTAATACTATTAGTTTGACTGTAATGTTAAAATCTAATCAACTGTTATATTGAAATGAATGATGACACATTATATCCAGTTAGAATAAACTTTCAATCTCACTTTATATTTATTTAATTAAAACAAAAGTACTCAATTTCATTATTTACTCTATATTAAACTTTTTCCAGTTATAAATCAGTCAATATCTGAAAAGTATCTAATTGTTTCACACAGAGACTGAAATTAAATTTTTAATTTAAAACAAATTACAAAACTAATTAAAAATGATATTTACCAGTTTTCCCATTATGCCTGTTCCCACTGTTTCTGCAGATATGTTATGAATATGTTCAACATGTTGTTCCTTAACAAATACTATCAGCATCATTCCTATGAGCCGGATCAATTTTACCTAATTTCAAAAACAACATTGAATAATTAATATAATTAAACTTAAAATCATTTTCAATATTATATTCAGACTACAAAATTCAATTTATTTGAAATAATTTTTCAAGAATTTAGTATCATGGAATACTTAGCTTAAAATATTAAACAGTATGGTACAATATGAATTATTGTAAATCATATTGCATATATTTAAAACTTTATATTACATTAATCATTATAACTGTTACAAATAGTTGCAAAAAAATATAGAAACTGATTTTCCTTTATTGGGCTGTAATTTGAAAAAACTTTAGACCTATAAATTTCCATTGTCCAGAATATAAAATGTCGGTCTGTCCTTCCTTAATCTACAGAATGGAGTTAGATAAATGAAAATCAAGATCAGATAAGAAAAACTTAGGGGCATGAGACCACAATTAACTATATATAAACTTCCAGTTTGCACAAGAAGTCACATTATTTCAATTCAAAAATGTTCTCCTGAACAGAGTTAGATAGATGATCGGCACAACTCTATTGTTAAAGAAAAAGTATGATGCACAAGAGCAAGATTTGAAGTGGAGAGCATATATTTTAAATTAAATAAATTAAAAAATATAATTAAAAATTGCAACCCAGTATTGTGACATCACAATAACTAATTGCTCATTCTACACATGATCATGTAGAAACAGGTTAAACGTTGATAGTGAGTAATATTACTGGTGAGGTTGAGCATGCTTCGACATGTTATCTGGATACTAGGAATAAATATAAACAACCTGCTGTTGGATTAGATCATGTTTCAACAAGCTAAATAAGTTCAGTATCTCGCTGGCTATCTAATGCCACACTCAGTTTATATCCAGCATTCGAACACTATTGTGCTTGTATTTTTATTTCTGGAATATGCTCGCAGAGGTTGTGTAATTTCTCCCGACAGCTTCTGTTATGTTTGTGGTGAATACACAGTGAAAAGTCAACAAAGACGACATTGGTTCCCAGAAAAAGTGTTATTACCATCTCTTCATATTAAATTGGGGCTCATACAGCAGTTTGTCAAATCACTGCCAAGAGATGGGAATTGTTTCAGATATCTGTGTTCCAAGTTCCCAAAACTGTCTGAAGCCAAGTTAAAAGAGAGTTTTCACTGGCCCCAACATAAGAAAACTTTTATCTGATCCCCTCTTTTTGAAAACAATGGGAGAAAAGGAAAAAGAAGCATGGTACTCTTTCAAGAATGTAGTGCAAAAGTTTTTGAGGAATACTACAGAACCTGACTACAAAACCATTGTACAGCACATGCTGGCAGTGTATGAAGCTCAAGAATGCAAGATGAGCTTAAAAGTTCATTTCTTACATTCCTATATTGACTATTTTCCCGAAAACTTGAGAGCCTACAGTGAAGAACAGGGTGAAGATTTCACCAGGATGTCTGTGTTATCGAGAGATGTTACCAAGGAAAATGGGATGTTGATACATTAGCTGAGTACTGTTGGATGCTCAACTGAGAAACCAGAGAAGGAAATCGGAAATGAGTTTGGAGAAGCATCAAAGAGAAGAAGAAAAGGTATCATAAGAAAAAAGAGTAGATCTAAAATTGGGTATAAATATCAAAGAATTTTTTGATTAGTTGTAAGAAAATATAATATATTTAGTTCATTGTATAAATAAGAGTGTTTATCAAAAATTTCTTTTTATTTTGCAAAAAACCCATACATGATGGGATGTTACAGAAGTCATTTTTAGAATCTCTGATCTTTAAAACATATAATTCAGCAAAAATATCCCATGCAGCTGGAAAAAAAATTTTTTTTCAGACCTGTGTTATTGCTTCTGTGTATGTTGTTATAATGTATTCATCTATACACATCAATATAATGTAATATCTTTAAATTTAAAGCAGAAATTGTATTATTTGAGATTGCTGAAAAATTATAAATGATTTCAAATTTAAACCTCTAATAAAATTTAAGCATTATAATAAAAGTTAATTTGACTATAATGCTACAATTTATTTTTCATATCTATTTTACTGTTTAGTTTAATATTAAATTAAACTTCATAGTTGTCTAATACTATTAGTTTGACTGTAATGTTAAAATCTAATCAACTGTTATATTGAAATGAATGATGACACATTATATCCAGTTAGAATAAACTTTCAATCTCACTTTATATTTATTTAATTAAAACAAAAGTACTCAATTTCATTATTTACTCTATATTAAACTTTTTCCAGTTATAAATCAGTCAATATCTGAAAAGTATCTAATTGTTTCACACAGAGACTGAAATTAAATTTTTAATTTAAAACAAATTACAAAACTAATTAAAAATGATATTTACCAGTTTTCCCATTATGCCTGTTCCCACTGTTTCTGCAGATATGTTATGAATATGTTCAACATGTTGTTCCTTAACAAATACTATCAGCATCATTCCTATGAGCCGGATCAATTTTACCTAATTTCAAAAACAACATTGAATAATTAATATAATTAAACTTAAAATCATTTTCAATATTATATTCAGACTACAAAATTCAATTTATTTGAAATAATTTTTCAAGAATTTAGTATCATGGAATACTTAGCTTAAAATATTAAACAGTATGGTACAATATGAATTATTGTAAATCATATTGCATATATTTAAAACTTTATATTACATTAATCATTATAACTGTTACAAATAGTTGCAAAAAAATATAGAAACTGATTTTCCTTTATTGGGCTGTAATTTGAAAAAACTTTAGACCTATAAATTTCCATTGTCCAGAATATAAAATGTCGGTCTGTCCTTCCTTAATCTACAGAATGGAGTTAGATAAATGAAAATCAAGATCAGATAAGAAAAACTTAGGGGCATGAGACCACAATTAACTATATATAAACTTCCAGTTTGCACAAGAAGTCACATTATTTCAATTCAAAAATGTTCTCCTGAACAGAGTTAGATAGATGATCGGCACAACTCTATTGTTAAAGAAAAAGTATGATGCACAAGAGCAAGATTTGAAGTGGAGAGCATATATTTTAAATTAAATAAATTAAAAAATATAATTAAAAATTGCAACCCAGTATTGTGACATCACAATAACTAATTGCTCATTCTAAAATAAATGTACAGTCAAACCTTGGTTTACAAACTTAATTTGTTCCTAAAAGTTGTTCAGAAATCAATTTGTTCTCAAACCAATACAAATTTTCCCATAAGATATAATGTAAAATGGATTAATTCATTCCAAACTCCCAAAAAAATTTTTTAAAACCTTTTTTTAGCTGTATTTCATGCATAAAAATGCCTACAAATGCAATATAATATAGATAACATTATATTATATATAATATCTATATTTATTATATGTATATGTTACTGTGAAAGACCGAAATTAGAGAATGTTGATATTCTCAAGTGAATGTCGACACATACAAAATGCATCAGTGAAAGTCCAAATATTTGGTTATATTATTATACATTCGAACAATTGCCGGTGTATGTTGACAAGCACAGATAAGCTTTGGTGGAGGTTGAAACGACGCCTGAGAAGCCAATGTCGACAGAGAGGCGACAGTCTGTCGGCAAATCCTTTGTGGGTAGCCGGAGGTAGGACAAGGTCTTTTGATCCCATGAGGTGGGGATCGGTTTGTCAGGTCAAGTGGCGGAGGATGAGAGGGGGCGTCGGTAAGGCATTGGCAATATCTGAATAAAAGACACCATTAACAGATCAGTTCGTAATCACGTAATAATGTAATCAGTTCATAATTTGTAAAAAAAAGTTACTTTCTGTAGATGAGATTTCTTCTCAAGAAATATCGCTGAGAGAAGCAGCTGCAGCTAATTCGAAAAGAGGAGGGCAAGGCTATACACGCTATCATTGCAAAAACAAGTGTTCCCCGAATAAATGCAGTTGTAAAAGCAAGGGACTCTTGTGCAATTCAAAGTGCAATAACAGTTTAAGTTGTTGCAATAAATAAGATTGTATAACGTTAATCACATAATTTATGTGTAGGTTTATTATTGTATTATTTTCTTTAATGATTAAGAATGTACTGTTTGTTTTAGGTTCAACAGTTTATTTAAATGTGCTGTTACTTAAGCTCTCTACTATTTTCACATATTAAAAAGTTGCATTTTTGTCTTAACGTAATAAACACTTTTATTCAACATTCACCATCAGTGCATGCTGAATGTCGACATTTGCCGGTGTAAATAAGAAATAATGATATTTAGCAAATATTTTGTACATACACGAAACGACTGTGTGAATGCTGACATTCACCAGATATCGGTCATTCACAGTAACATATA